GGAATGTGCATGTCTGTGTCCACATTCTCCTGCACTGGTCTCATTCACTCTCCTTATAAACATGTCCATATGAAGAAGTGGGGCTGCCCTCTGATAACCTCATCAGTCTAATCACCTCCCGAAAGTGCCACTTCATAATTCCAGAGTTGGATTGCATTTCTGCCCTCTTAATACTTTCACAGTGACTCACCAAATTTTAACAAGTGAATTTAGGAAGGACACATTCGTGTTATAGCAGTGGTCATGGAAGATCTTCCTAATGAAATCTCTGAACAGAGACTTGAAGTGTATAGGAAAAGAGCCACCCAGGCAGAGAAAGCAAGGCTATAAGGCATGCAAGAACTGGCTGTATTTGAAAGGAGTTAGCAAGTGAAAGGCACAGCGGCCCTTGCAAGAACCATGTGTTTGACTGGAACAGAGGAAAGGAGGGAATATCTTTGAGCAGCAAGGTCAGAGTGGAATCTAGGAGCTACCTAATGGAGAATGTGAAATCACTGTATTTGGTATTTCTTATCAATGCAATGAGAAGCCATTGTTAGGTTGATGGTAGCGATATGATCTGACTGCTGCTTTGAAAGGCTATCTTTGGTTCCTGTGTGGAAAACAGACTACAGATGGATAAGAGCAGAAACAGCTTGAGCATAAAAAGATCTTGCAATAATCAAGTCAAAAAATACTGGTAACTTAGACTTGATGATGGCAGCAAAGGAGTGAAGGTAGGGTTGGATTTGGTAGGACTTGCTGGAAGATTGTTCTGTAGGATTAAGAGTTTTGCAGACCTAAACATCTGCTGTTTAGATAATGAGCTAGTCTATCTCAATGGATTTCCCTTGCATCAATATTTTCTAATGCTGACAAGTAAAAGAATATTTCCTCACTTATTTAGTACTATCCTAGGAAGTCTTTTTAAATAGTTATTTATCTTTCACTTTATTTCCATGGTACCTCACTAACTGAACTTTCCTCTCTTGTGTTATAGATGTTTTATAATTGCACCTGCGTGGGAACTGCAGCCTCCAAATCAGGAAACTCCTCAGGCATGGTGGGCAGGTGTCAGAAAGATAATGGATGCCCCAAAATGTTTCTGTATTTCCTTGTCATTTCAGTCATCACATCCTATACTTTATCCCTAGGGGGGATACCTGGCTACATATTACTCCTGAGGTAAATGCTGATTCTCCCCACCCCACTTTTTTTTTAAGTGTATTTATTTTCATCAGAGAGATAGAGAGATAAAGAGAAAGCACCCTCAATAGGGCCCCATGCCGTGATCCTTACCCAGCCCTCCAGCCAGCCAGAATTATAAGCACATGTATATGTGCCCATTGTGTGCAATTTAACCCAGGAAAAGGACCCTCAACTTTCTGGACTTGCAGAGTGACATGTCACCACTGCACCATGGCAGATGGGCCTCCTACACCATTTTAGTAATTTTATAACATATGATCATCTAGAGCAGGAATTTAACATTCTTTGCTGTGGAATTGTCATGATTCCTCATAGCTTTTTCCAAGAACTTGCCATACACCCTTGTTCTGTTTTCATATGTGTCTCATTTTAGGTTTTCATAGGGGAAAAAATATGGCTAAGTAGATGTTTTCATTAAATGTTAAAGTGCTTGCAAACATAGGTCCAGAGAGCAATATTTATGCCTACATCACTATAGTCACTTGGTAAATGGAGAATGTACTTCAGAAGCAGGTGGGGATTTTAGCTAGTATAGATAAAATATGTTTTAGATTAAATATATTTTTACAGAATTGTAAGAGTTGGGATTTATTACAATGTTTTCCATTTACTATTTTGATACATAGGTTTTTATTTGTTCTGCATATTCTCTTTGTGAGTAGAACTATCTGTGAAGAGTTTTATGGTTTTTGGATCAATTGAAGTCCTAATTTATGAATATTATGTTGATGCCTTCAAACAGTTTTATTTCTAAGGTCCTAAAATAATTCATTGAGAGATTTTTACTATATAGTGTGTTTGCTCACTGGAGAGACACAGAGAGACAGACAAAAAGCAAGAAATCACTCTCAGGTTTGTGGCCACAGCACAATCTCTTCTCATCCTTTCTCCTCTCCGGATTTTGGACACCTATGCACACACACCTGGCATGGGTTTCAAGCCACCAAGTCCAGGACTCCAACTGCAGTCAACCACATGGGAATCCAGCACCTTAACCACTATGCCACCCGCTGGCTCCCTAAAATAATTTTTAAAACTATATACCCCCTTGCATACTTTTCAATTGAACTGTACAAGTGTTTACACTAAGTGTAAATACTAAGAATTGATTTCCAGTATATTATAAATATTTTCATTTAAACATGTAGCAATTTTAAATTTAAGCCAGTCTGTTAAATTTAATTAATAGATTCTAAAGGACAGTGACTAGATAAGCAACATCTAATCAAAAATCAGATAAAAAACTTTTAACAGTGGTAACTTTACATCTTTCTTTTTTCCCTTTGTACTTGTATCTTTTTTTTTTTTTGAGAGATTTTCACTGTAGGGCGCATGCGCTCACCAGACAGACAGAGAGAGACATAGAGACAGAAAGCGAGAAATCACCCCCCAGGGGGGATGGTCACGCTGCAATCCCTTCTCCTCCATTCTCCTCTTGGGATCTTGGGCACGCACGCACACGCACCCGGTGTGAGCTTTAAGCTACCAGGTCTGAGACGTGAACCGTGGTCGACTACGTGGGAGTCCAGCGACATAGCCATTACGCTAACTGCTGGTTCCCTGTACTTGTATCTTTTTAAACTCCCTATTGGCTTTTGTTTTATTGTAATAAAATTTGTGCTTGAGCATTTTTAAATGACTATCCTATCTCTATAAATATTGTGTATGAATTTATATACATCATTATAAAAATATATATGAATATAAATTTTAAAAATATTAGCCTTGTAGCTAGAATTTTCAGTGATATTTTCAATTGAATTAGTTTTGCAAATATTTCTAAATTTTGATACAGTTATTAAAAAGTCATAATTTCCTGGAAATCAATCTTTTATAAGATGGACTGGATGATTTTCAAATTAACTCATAGGTCCAAGAATGAATATCAAGTTTTTCTAGAATAAGACTGATCAAAAGTATTATATTCTCTATATTTTTAATTTCCCACTATTTTTATTAGGGATATTGATTAGAAAAGATCAACAGAAAGTAGAATTTACCAGCCACAAATCTATCTTCAAAATGAATTAAGGAAAACATGAGATATTTGTGTTTATAGATGGGTTTAAGAAAATGTGAGGGAACAGCAGGTGGCGCGGTGGTTAAGCCAGTGGACTCCCACATGGTTTACTGCTGTTTGAGTCGCAGACTTGGAGGCTTGAAAATCATGCTGGGCATGTGTGCGTGTGTGTCCAAAATCCTGAGAAGAATAGAGGAGAGGAATGACTGTCTACCGTGGGGGGTGATTTTTCATTTTCCCTCCTGTTCTTTCTCTCTCTCTTTCTCTCCCTCTCCCCAGCAAGTGCATACACCCTAGGGCAAAAAAAAAAAAAAAAAAAAAAAAAAAGAAAAGAAAAGAAAAGAAAGAAAAGAAAAGAAAGAATGGGAAAGAGGACCAAGAAAAGAATAGAAGAGCAGGGGGTTGCAAGTTTGTCCATCACTCCAAGGGTTGATTTATCACTTTCCCTCTCTCTGTGTCTCTCTCAGTAGAGTGCTTATGCCCAATAGCAAAAACAACGCAAAACAATAGGTTGGAAACAGGAAAAAAGAAAAAGTAAATGGGAAAGCATTGCCCTAGAGTTTCCGGACCATTGTGACTACTTCTTCAACAGCTTCTTATATTGCGCCAAGTAGTCCCCTGGACCAAGTGAAGAATCAGGTTACGTACTATAATAAGTATGGTGGGACTAGCAGGTGGCATAACAGTTATGTCCCTGGACTCCCACATGGCCGACCTTGGTTTGAGTCTGGACCCTGTGGTTGAAATTCACGCCAGGCGCATGTGTGCACAAGCACAAGATCCCCGGGAGGAGAAGGGATAGGGGTGTGGCTATCTCCCCCGGAGGGATGGTTTTTCTCTCTTTCTCTCCTGCAAGCACACATGACCTAAGGCAAAAACCTCTACAGAAAAAAAAAAAAAAAAAAAAAAAAAAAAAGAAGCGTTTTCTCATTTCCTCACCACCAGTCCCTCCCATGAACCAGAGTGAGTTTTCATGTGAGATGGACTTCCTTGGGCTGAAAGAGAAAGATCATGATTCTGACCTCTTTTAAGCAGAGAATATACAGAAAGTATTTAGTGCCATGGTTAACACTTAATAGTTACTATATATTGTCAGGATTGATTGAATCATATTAAGCGTATTCTTATCATTTTAAGTGTTTTTTCATTTTTTTTTGTAAAATAGTCTCCACTCTTGCACAATATTTTGCATGCCACAGTGATTGTATCAGCTCTGACCAGTTCAGTTGTGTGCTTTTAGACCAAGAGCCAAAAAACTTGCTATAGAATGTTAATCTTTTTTCATTTCTTCAGATTCTTGGAATTTCTGAGAGGTTTTTTCCCTGAGTTATTGTCATTTTGCTGATTAATATTATGGTTTGACTTTATCCAGCATCATTTGCATATGTCATATAAGGGTGATTTATCTTCTAGAAATAGTAGCTACAAACTCCTTGAGGCACCACATGGAATAGAATATGACTTTTATGTATTTAACTTTCCTTACATTAACACACAGTGGGTTCGCTAAAAAATTCTTCTTGAATTCTTACATGATTACATGTGTGTGTTGAACATATTTATTTGAACAATTCTATTTGCTTTAGCAGATTTCTTGTTTGCTTTTGGTAATAGTGTTTTTGTTGATTTTAGGTGTATCAAGCCACAACTGAAGTCTTTTGCCTTGGGCATCTACACCTTAGCCATAAGAGTTCTTGGTGAGTATAATCTATGCTTTTATTTATGGTACCAACCCTACGTACATTTTGAAGACTCTTCTAAATTTGTTTTCTGGAATTTCCATCTATAACTAGATAACGTAGGTGGTTAAATTCATACTCTTTTAATTTTCTTCCTTTTAGCATTCCTTTATTCCCTCCCTCTTCTTTCTGACTCCTTATTTCCTTTATTTCAGAAATATTTACTGCTTTGCCCAAGATGTAATAAAGAGATTTTGTGAGAGTAACACAATTTTTGATTAATAGTCTTGTCTTTTTCAGCACTGGTCTTTTGTCACAAATCTAGTGTCATTAAAATATTGCCTATTAGTTTAAAAAAAAAACAAAAAACGACCATTAATATCTAGTTATTTAGGGGGCCAGCAGGTGGCATGGTGGTTAAGAATGCTGGACTCTGGGACCAGCAGTTAGCTTCATGGCTATGTTGCTGGACTCCCATGTAGTCGGCTGTGGTTTGCGTCCTGGACCCGGTGGCTTAAAACTCACGCCGGGCACATGTGTGTGTGTGTGCCCAAGATCCCGAGGGGAGAATGGAGGAAAAGGGATTGCGGCGTGGCCTTCCCCCCAGGGGGTGATTTCTTGCTTTCTGTCTCTCTGTCTCTTTCTGTCTGTCTGGCGAGCGCACGCACCCTATAGCAAAAACCTCTCCAAAACAAAAAGAATGCTGGACTCTCACATGGCCGATTGTGATTTGAGTCCCGGACCTAGTGGCTTGCTTTCTCACTTTCTCTCTTTCTCTCTTGCTCTCACTCTGTCCCTCTCTGATCCATATTAAATAAATAAATAAATAAAGTTAAATAAAATAATTATTTTTAAAAAATCGAGTTACTTAGCAGACTTAAAATATGTAAAATACAAATAGAGTTGTGAACAGACTGGAATCAACTTAAGATACATTTGTTAAAATTTGTATGTGAGAGAGAGCTTTTCTCCCTAAGGAAGGATTAAATTCTCCACAACCATGTATTGAAAGCCTACTAGGATTTATAGCATGAGTAAGGACACATTTCCTGCCCCTGTATAGTTTACAGACTGGCTTGAAAGGCAATTAAGCCATTAAAGGAGTACTGGAGGTTTTGAGAGAAGTACCAATGCCGTGAGAACCGAAAGAATTAATGTAGTTTAGGTCATCAGCATAGCCGATCCTGGAGGAAAACAGTGAACTAAAATTCAAAGGGTGAGTGTGTGTTAAGAAGGAAAAGGAAAGAAGAGGAAAGTAGTTTGAATGAAGAAAACATGCAAAACATTCAGACCAAGAGAGGAGAGTATTTTAGACACTGAAAGAAATTCAGCAAAGCTGGAATCAGAAATATAAAGCAAAGAATGTTGCTCAAAATGGGGCCAAAGATGTAGATGGGGCCCAATATCCAGGCATCTACTCTTGTCTTGAAACAGATGTCTTGGGAAATTATCTATGCAATGAACAATTCAACATCCGTACGATGGCTAGTTTGGAGATGGTTCAGGAAGAGAGCAGAAAATTCATAAATTGTAGTTTTAAATTAGGACAGAAAGGGATCAGCAGATAGCATAATGGTTTTGTCACTGGACTCCCATGAAGTCATCTGCAGTTCAAGTCCCGGACATGGTAGCTTAAACTTCACACTGAGCATGTATACATGGATGCCTAAGATCCTGAGAGAAGAAGAGAGGAAAAGGGATTGAGGCATGGCCTTACCCCTGGGGGGGTGGTGGTGATTTTTCACTTTCTTTCTCTCTGGAGAGCACACGTCCTATAGTAAAAATCTCTCTAAAAGGAAAAAAAATAAAAGGAAATAATAGTAGGAATAGGAGAGTGGGGAGAAGGTGATGTGCATAAGATGAACCTAGGAGGAGAATGGGTATGGCTCTGAGAAGGATGACATGTGGTCATGACAAGAGAGAGGAAGAGAGGAATCGGAGAGAACTCCCAAAGTTGTAACTTCAGCTATTGGGTGGCTACTGAGGAAAGGGTGGGTCTGGGCAGAGAAAGTTGAGCTCATGGTGAATTAGAAGTGGCTGGCAGACAGACTTCTAAAACAAATGGTAGTTATTACATGAGTCTGGATCTTCTGAGAAAAGACTGGATGAGAGAGAGTGAGAGATTTTGGAGATTTCAACATATAATTGAGGGTCTTTCATCTTCAAAACAGCAATAACTGGACTAAAAGTAATTGGTTCTGGATAATCATTCATAACCAAAAAGATGTGCATATGTTTTTAGTAACAATTATTTTTCTTCACAGCGGGAATCCCAGCTCCAGTATATTTTGGAGTTCTGATTGATACTTCATGCCTCAAATGGGGATATAAAAGATGTGGAAGTAGAGGATCCTGCAGATTATATGATTCAAATACTTTCAGGTATCACTGCAAATGTATTCCTAAATGTCACACTGCTTCGATATGCCATGTCTACACGGTACCAGGGGCACTAATAATTCCCCATGTAGTTTCATTGTTTTGTTTGTAAGGTAAAAAGCTGTCAAATTAAACCGTGTAATCTGTTTCATAGAGTAAATCTATTATTATTTGATTGTCTAGATCTTGGATATTTTCCTCATTCCTAAGCATCACCGTCATTTTTAATGAGTAATCATTTTGAAACTATGATAAAAGATGCTAAAGCAGAGTAGACTTTTGAAAGTTTTATGCATAAAAATGGATGTTATTCCCTGAAACTGAGAAGCATTTAAATGTTGGTCACATTTTGGGTTTAGTTCTATTCTTTTTCAAATGGAGCCAAACTGTACCATTTACGTCAGATATAATCCCCCTGGGCAAGAGTTGAATTTGGCTTGAAATCTGTCCGGCTTTTATTGCCAAACTGATGTTCAATTATTCCAGTACTTGAAATGCATAAAAGTAAAAGGTTTTCACTGTGTGAGAGAGTGTGTATGGGGGTGGAGGGCATGGCTTTTACACTATGGTATCATTCAGTTCAATTCATCAAGCATTTAGTTCCCTTAATACTTAAAGCAGTGCTTCTATGGCTTAAAAACAAGAAGGATTTTTTAAAAGACTTACAAGCTAAGCATTTTCTGGAGAAACAAACTTGGGCCATCTAAATCGGATGTGAATCAGACAGACCATCTCAAATAAGTTTGTTTGATTTAATAGGCTTTGATGTTATGTGTGAAATTTATTTTGGTCATTGAAAGGAACCAAATCTGTGAGTATAATTGGAACTTTACTCCCATTTGCTAAGACTGTATTCAGTTTAACGCCGCAATGGGGTAGCTCAATGGGAGACTGAGTGTGTTCACGGAATGCCCAGAATGAATCATTCAGCCTGTCCTTCCATACCTTACTATCACCTGACAGAGTGTAGCACTTAGATTTCATGGAAGAAATTGGTTGAAACCAAAAGCTTGGTTTATCCTTAGATCATTCTGTTTCACTGAGAGTCGCAATTCCCGTTAGCATTGCTTCTTGCAGGTTTTCCATAGCAATGAATTTAGGAAAAGTCTGAGGATAAGGGGACCACATAATTTATTATTCAAACCCAGACACTTTTGAAAGTGGAAGGAGGTACTGTTAAAATTACACTGGGACGGGACCAGCAGTTAGCATAATGGCTATGTCGCTGGACTCCCAAGTAGTCCACCGCAGTTCAAGTCCCGGACCCGGTGGCTTAAACTCACGCCGGGCGTGTGTGCGTGCGTGCCCAAGACCCCTAGAGGAGAATGGAGGAGAAGGGATTGTGGCATGGCTATCCCCCCGGGGGGTGATTTCTCACTTTCTGTCTCTGTCTCTCTCTGTCTGGCAAGCGCACGCGCCCTATAGCAAAAGTCGCTCAAAAAAAAAAAAATTACACTGGGACAAAACTAGCATAATCTGGGACTGTCTGAGCAAATAAAGGGATGATTGCCTTGTCTGAGTGAGTAATTTACAGAGAGGATGGAACTGGTGATGTAATTAGTATAACTGAAAATGCTGGTGCTTCTAAGAAATTGCTTTATACTGGTAAACTGCCCTCAGTAGTCCAGCAATGTTCAGAGTAAGGTCTTTTTTAGCTACAGAACCTGGATTCTTAAAGAAAACCATCAGAATGCCATTATTACTTTCCTGTTACATTTCATTTCAAGTTGCGTAGTTGCAATAAACACAACTGAGATTCTCTCTTCTTCTAGACACATATATCTGGGACTAACTGTATTACTGGGCACAGTGTCCATTTTCCTGAGCATTGCAGTTCTTGTCACTTTAAAGAAACATCATGTTTCACAACATAGAAGCTTCATCACCAAGAGAGAAAGAACAATGGTGTCTACAAAATTCAGTAAGGAAAACTGGACTGCAACTGATCACTTGCTACAACCCAACTATTGGCCAGGCAAGGAGACACAACTGTAGAAAAATTACGACTTGAAGTATGATTTTAATGTGTGGAAAGGATGCAAACAGATACATTTTAATCTAAAGGATTTTACATTTGTAATTTCTCCTTTCAAAAATGTCTACTTTGTCTTTCAACCTAGCCATTAAGTAATAAACCTGATAACAAATGTAATTAAACATAAAACAAAATATACAGATGATAAAAATAATTTTAAACATTTTAATTTATATAGAGTCTTCATATTATTTACCTGTGCTTTAGTTTTCCTTGTGCTCATTAATATATTAGCCGTATTCCCAGTAGAACAATTATTTCTACTGTCTAATGGTTATATGTGAAGTAATTTCTAAACTGAGTTTACTTGTCTAGAGAAAGAAAATACTTTTAACAAGCCATCGCATTTTGGTCTCCTTATCACCTTAATGAGGATGTTAGGATGGAGTCAGAATATGGAAAAAATAGTTTGTCTTAGTCTTCCTTGTCTTCAAAATACAGTAATTGATATGAAAATGTATAAGACAAATGCTCTTGGAGGATTCAAATTTTGGATTATTAGCTCTCCGACTATTCCTCTTCTACTATTCATTTACTTTTTGTAAAGTGGTTGCAGTTGTAAAGGAATAAAATTAATGTTAACATGCCTTATTGTCTTTCTATGAATTTGTTTTTATTTTTGTTTGCTCTGGTACATGTGCTTGCCAGAGAGATACAGAGAAAAAGCGATAGCCAGAGAGAAAGTGAAAACTCACTCCATCCCAAGGGGCGGATGGCCACTCTGCAATCCTTTCTTCACCATTTTCCTCTTGGGATCTTGGGGACACACACATGCCCACTGTGTTTTTCAAGTCACCGGGTCTGGGACTCCAGCTCCTTAGTCAACCATGTGAAATCCAGTCACCTTAACCTCCATGTCACTTGCTGGTCCTTCCATGAATTTCACAAATCAAAAAAATACTGTTAAATACAATCTACCCATTTTAAACTTATATCAAAAATTGAATTTTGTGCCAGAAGGTGGGTGTATTGCCACATGGCAGACCAGAGTTCGAGTCCTAGACCTGGCAGCTTGAAAATAATGCCATGTCTCTGTGTGTGTGTGTGTGTGTGTGTGTGTGCGTGTGTGTGCACATGTACCCAAGATGCTGAAAGGAGAATGAAGGAGAAGGGATTGTAGCATGACCATCCTGGTAGGTGGGATTTCTCACATTCTCTCTGTATCTCTCTGGTGAGCACACATGGCCTCTGGCAAAAACCTAAATAAATAAATAATACAAAATAAATTTCTAAAACTCTGTTATATCAGGAAGTCTGCTATATCAGGAATGGAGGGTACTGGGTTGAGTGATGTTCAGGTGGAGTGTGGTACCTTTTGGTCCACCTGTTACCATCTTAGGGCCTAGGGACTCCTAGGTAGGAAGCTGCTTAGTACAACCTGCCAGATAGCTCTGTTTTTCAGCAACTGAAAAAGCCAAGCTAGGAATTTCCTCTTCTCTGTCTTCCTGGTGCCCTTTGACTAGGGTTAGTAGGT